AGCTTAAGAAATCAAGTTCATGGGTGGCAGAGCTGATAGACGCAGTGCTCCTTCCACTATGCTCAAGCCTTTTCTGAATTAGGTAAGTCGAAATATGTTGGAAGTTTTGATTGTGATATGCCCTGGTACAAACAAACAAACAGCCAAATATCTGTTGAATTAACTTGAACTTGACAGCCTGGCATTCCCGGCCATAGTGTTCTGGTCGCAGACGGCTATTCTAGGCACAGACACCAGAGCTTAGCCACAGCGAACTCCTGGGTGTGCCCCGATGCACCTCCTGTTTCTTCTTCTGGATGCCTTCGCCCACGCCCCCATCTGTGGGAGTCCTCTGTCCTGTGGCAGCTGCCGCCTCTGTGACACTGAGCGAGCGCCCACATGGATGTGAGCTGGCTTCTCCTGAACCCTCCCTCATGCACCCTCCCTCTCTTTCTTATGTTGTCTTATTTTCTCCACTACGATCTCAGCACCCAGAAGGGCTGAGACTGACATTAGCAGCACACAAACAACCCAAAGTACATGAAAAGTAAAAACCTCACTAACCTCCAAGAAACTCTTCTCTAAGGCCACACGGATGTTGGTCTCTATGCTGGTGCGTTTCTTCCTCCTACGGTTCAAGCCCTCAGTTACCAGCCCTGGAGAGTTCAGGGCACTTGGGCTGGAGAGAGACGAATCAGATGAGAGGTTCTCTGCGAAAAGGAAGAAAACACGGAAATCAGAGTAGCTGAGCCTGACTCATGCATGTAACACATTATCATAACAACGACGATAAAACTGACCCAAACATTTCAAGCTACAAGTAAGCATGAACGGGTTTTCATAACCTACATTAAAATACTGTTCACCATCATGGTCTTTCTGCTGCTCTTACTGATGTTCTGTCTCAGGGTGGCTGGCTCTATTGTCACCGTTACTCTTTGATTTATGTTTCCGAGAATGCATACGTTTATTATTTCTCCCTTTAGACTCAGCTCTACCTCTTCTGAGTTCTGTGCTTATGTTTGCATTTTGTTTGCCTATTTATTTATTAGCTCTAGGGATAAAAGGAAGAAAGCTTCTTGGAAATTACTGAATGTTTAATATTATCTTGGAAATGACGTCTCATTTTATTGGTATAATCTAGGGCAACACCCTACCCCCCCCCCCAAAACCCCAAAGAAACAATGAAACACTTCTAAATTCTTTGAGGTTTAAACAAGGCTGTGTCATTTAACAGTTTAATGGCCCTGGGCATCTCACTGCCACCTCTGAGCTTCGTTCCACGGATGGAGCAGAGCAGTGGTTCTCACAGTGGAGCTCAGTAAGGCGGCTGGTGCCGAGGCCTCGCCCAGAGTTATGGAATCAGACCGCCAAGG